ACTGAGTTCCATTCCATATTCCATTCAAGTCTTTCCCGACTCCATACCAATCGTCGCCGACTATCTTGTGAGGTCAGAGGTTGTTCAAGATGGGGACGTTATGAAAACAGTCCAAAAGACCTTATCGGGGGTAAGCTGTCCTCATCGTCATCGCCCTTCCGATAGCATCAAACCACTGGTTCACGTCTGCCCTTGTTGTGGAAAATCGACCTCTAAGGCCCGTATCGTCAGACATCCCTACAATTGTAGGGCGGCTTTATGGCCTCCTTGATTGTCATAGTTTTCTACTTCTCCGTTTCAGAACTCTATTTTGAGGTTATGTCACAAACATATATTTGCATCAAATTGTGCTTGCTTTTGAGTTATATCATGTTTTATCAGCCTGAAATTTCCTACAATTTAAAAAAAACATATCTTCACACTAGGAGAGCGCTGACGCTGACACGGGACAAGTGTAATCTAGAAATTTTTGAAGGAGAGAAATGAGTATGACAATCAAGGAGGCCATAAACGCGCCCTACAATTGTAGGGACGACTGGCGATAAGGGCCTAAAAGCTAGTTGCCTCAGATAACGATCCTGTCACTCTGACGTCCAGTACTTCTAACTCGTCGATTTCGGCCTTCTTGGAACCACGTTCGAAAACATCTCATTACAGTAGCTTCGTTTTGATTTACCCAATTAGCGATTTCTCTAAATGAAAATCTGGCTTCAGGTAATCCTCCCACACTCGGAAAGTTGAGTGAAATTAGCGCGTCTACGAACTCTAGGCATGATAATGCAATGAAATAAAAATGAAACAAATGGAACTAACACAGAAAAGTCACTGAATATTAAGTGAACATGTTAATATTGTTCGGATCCTGATATGACAAAAAAGTACAGCTGGGAATGCCTGCAACATGTTCAGCGTATACTTCCGTGATAGCAAATACGTATACAAGTTTTTATCAAAATTCAATAAATAATTCTGCGTATTGCATTTTATGTCACTTAGGGCCAATTTCACCAACATTTATATTTAACGGTCCCTTGGACCAATGGGAAAATACCTTATCGAAATGCAATTTGACGGAAGCTGTCAAAGCTTTCTGAATAATAAGGGTACATTACAGATGTAATATTATGTCTTTGTGCTTTAGAATTAGGATAACTTTCCTAGAATTTCAAATTTTTATCATTTCAGAAAAGACGGTCGGTTATTTAAATGGACCAATGAAAATGTCGGAAATAATAGGTCGACTTTCTAGCTATTATATTTGGTATAATGTTTTCACTGTTGTTGACTGTTCATGCATGGCAATCTAGTTCTGTCTGTATATCACGTACAGGGTGTTTGCTGTACATAATACGTACCTGTAGAAATGTACCGATTTTTGTTATTTTGCAAAAAAAGGGTATAAAGCGTATTCCAACTGGTTCATCATCTTTTGTTACATCAAAAACAATTATTGTCAATTTATGATCTAGAAATAAACACCAAATATAAACAAACAGCACATTCTGCATTTCTGGGTCCTAAAACATTGATATTTGTAAAAGTATCCGCATCCACCTATTATTCATCCTCTAGATATTATAAGTCAGAATCAACAATACCTATTTATGAAAATATATCTCCAAACATTGTTATATTTTCTTATTATTTCTATTATTATAACACGTCTGGGATATCAATTGCTCTTAAAGTGATCTGCACATCTGCAGTGTTGCCGAACCGGCAAAAAAACGGAATCGGTAAATAGTGTCATTGAATTCGGTATAAGGTAAATGCCGTCCCAAGATCAGTGGTAGATCAAGGACCTTTGAGTCATGAAAAACGTCTGTTATTCTATTGGGCGCGCACACAACATGTTTTGTGAGGGCATAGTTCTATATTATAACTTCTACAATGTGCATACTGGTCGCTCTTTCAAAGTACTTTGCAACCGTTCTGGAAACTCCTTTTTCGATTCTTGCTTATGGGATAGTGAATATTTTTCTGTTTTACCCCTGAACTCACCTCTCATTTTAATTAAATATTTATTTTGAAAACAGACAGGTTTCGGTTTCTTTATTGCTTGCCCACTGATGAGGTAATGACGGTAATCTACCAATCTATATCTTTTGTATGCACAAAACTCAATTCAGGCCAAGCGGAGTAAGGGATGAGGATGTGCGTTCGTAATCATACGCAAACCAAATCTACGCCTCTCATGTGCCCGACTGCCTGAGTGTGTATCCATATGTATGATTGATATGGGGCATAAAACTATGAAGACTACATAAATTTAACTTCTAGCTTTATTTTTGGTTTCAGCTCTTTTTTGGCAAGTATAGAAATATTTAAATTATTTTGAAAGGTTGTGGAGAATGATGTTATCGGTAAATATTCTCTTTTCGGTAAAAATACCGAAAAATCCGGTTCAAGTCCATGCATGTACAATTTGCAATATTAATTTATATTCTAAATTCTATGCATATACGTTCATATTCGTCAATATTTCATTTGAAGCTTTTACTCGTTATAAGATTTTAGCAAAATGTAAGATAGTAAAGGCAACACTACACCCTGCAGCCCAGTTGACAAGAACGACAAGCTGTCAAGATTAGGGATGTTTAGATCGACGAAAAGTATCGTTATGTATGGATTCTTATCGTTTTAGGAAGTATCAATACTCCAAAATATTGGAATAAAATTACCGATATCCAGCGGAAGGAAACAAAGAAGAAAAGTAATCTGAAGTTAGTCACTCTTTCTGACACAGTCCGGATCGAAAGATGACAATATTTGTGAAATGTATCGATACACCCAAGTGTCGCATATAAAAATATCGATACAAACTATCGGGTATGGGAAGAAAAAGTATCGATACTTCTAAATACAGGATCGTATCGAACATCCCTACTGTCAAGACGTATAACCCGAGGTACCGACTGAGCTATTTTGCGGCGTCATGAAAATTCCACGTATAGTCTTATAAAGTATAGTAGAGTATACTTCAACAGTTGGCGGGGCTTACTCCACTGGGACCAAGGGTTGACGGATCCAGCACATGTGTCACTCGTTGGGGAGTTTTTAAACGTAATAATCAGCTGTAATTAAAACAATGTTTAACGTAAATATAACCTAGAATGTGTAGTCAGTGGAACAAGAAAGTTATTGCAAATTCTATTTTTTTGCAGGTTTTAAGTTTGATGGTAGCTTTACGACATATATTTGAGTATTTTTTGATCGCTGTAAATATAGTGTGGATGCTTGTTCAGTTCCTGAACAACCAAAGAATATTTGACTATGGATGTTTGAATATCAAAATCCTGAATGGTTTTGTGGAAATATCAATTCACGGTGCTATAACGGTACTGATGAATGGCAAGTAAATGAATAAATGTTTGGAAACGAGCAATATCTATGAAATCTTTTGTAGAACCTGTCATCAAGTAGGTGCTTAATGGCTATCTGCAAGAGGTTTATAGGAAAAGAACACACGGTAGGTGATGTTGAATCAGTAAACTCGCATATCAATTGAAGAAAATAATATAAATATTAAATCAAAACAAGAATTTTATTCAAAAATCGAACACTTTTTTAAATTTTGACCAAACCATATGTAATTTCTTAATATTCAATAAGCTGGCGATGTTTGAATGACAAGCTGTCATCTCATACTTTGACAGTATTTTGTTTTCAACATTTTATAGCTATTGGTTGCTAAAATTTGTTGTTTGGAACTTGAAGCTCATTCGCTGTATTTGACGGACTGTTACCCTATAGGTGGAGAATAACGGACTGTTGATTTGACAATCTTGTTGAAATCCACCCTTAGTATATTTTATCCTTAAATGAGCTGTAAAATTAATTTCTGATTGGGCTGACACAAAAATGCGTATGCTGGATCAAGTGATCCCTGAGCAATTTATCATTCTGCTTACGCTCTCTGATCACTTACCTCTCTGTAAGATGTTTTATTCCTTTATAAAAACCACATTCCTTTTTGCATGCCAACTTTGAACTTTCTCCTCCGGCGAATAACTCTGTTTCCACCTTTTGTACGAGATACTCCTAAATGAGAAATACTCAGGTGAGAAGCCCCAGACAGGACATTGCATTAAATCGTAAACAAGAGGAAGCCGTGATTAAACTTTGAAGTGGAAACAATAATAAAATGTGTTCTGCCATCTCGATGTTATATACATTCGTTGAGTTACCGGGGTAAGCTTCCGAGGTGAATTATAGGAAACCAAGAGAGGACGCTGGCATCAGCTGACGGAGATGCGCATTATCTTGTTTATAAAACGGTTTCTCTAGGTTTGGGGAAATAGCAGAAAATGGATTTCCAGTAGTTCCTGGAAATACCTTTCTCTCTGTTAAACATCATCTAATGAAAACTAGAGGTCACTTTGTACCATACCACTTATAGTACCGATACCTCCGCGTAACAGACGATCTGAACCACCAAGCGCATTCAAACTCGCTCAGCTACGCACTGCCAGAATACATCCGCTAATCTTTAGCATGCTGCGATTACACCGATCAGCTACAACTGGTCCGAAGGCTGCGCTCTCGTTGGGAGATACAGCTCACGGCCAAGTTTTTCAGAAGTGTCATGTTTGTCCTTCAGATTTCGTCCATCCAACTGTTCACGAATGAATCGTACATCGATGTGTTTTCCTCAGCGTCGCGCCATTCCTCTGACAAATAACCTGATGAATGGAAAGAAGTTGAAACAGGAAAGGAAGAAAAAGTGAGTTTCACAACTCGGAGCTAATACATCTTAGTCTCGTTTATCTCTCTCAAGAGACAGAGCGACGTGTGATGGTGTTTCCAAATGTTCAACACGTGAAGCTTTAGTAATAATGGTCGATCTACCAGGAAGTAATTTCGCATAAAATATTTTTAAAGCCCTATTTTTCTAAACAACTTCTCAATCCAATGTTGCGTACCAAAATGCAAGATACTTCAAGGAAGATAGCTTGTTGAACTTCTTTCAGTTTATGACAGGGAAATACGTAGGAAAGTACCGTGATTTTCCTCGGACAGACTGACGCTTCCAGTTCACGTTCTCTTTCTTTGATATCTGATTCTTGTTTAATAAAAACAGAATCCCATTCAGCTCACTAGCCATGAACTTTGCACTCTTTGATGAATAATCTGATGAGCTGAAATAATCCAAAACAAGAAAGTAACGAAAAAACGCTGACGACTTTGAGTTAATAAATTCCATTTTCGTTTAGCTTCCCCAATAACCAAAGCAACTTATTTGTAATTCCAAATGTTCAGACAAAGCTTTTTAATAATGATGGACCATTAGTGTAGCTGTCCGCTTTCTTCTCAGTACGGAAATATTTCAGTTCAGTTTCTCTAATTACTTCTCATTTCAAATATTTATGGAGCAATTCAGATTTTGCCACAAAGCTACGGAACAGAATACATTTTATGCTGTGTAATCATTCATTTGTTCGTTTCAATAATAATGAAATCTTCATTGATTTTTACGCGAGAACTAACCCCCGACGCAAAAATGAGTTGAGAAGCTTAACATTAGTAGTAGTGGCTTATTGTAGGAAAATAGTAATTTACAATAATACAATTGTACAGGGTGGCCAACTAAGGATGCAAGGTACTCTATCTGGGAACCTATCCATGGCACAAACGTTCGGCAAAACAAGTTCTTACTGAAAAGGTTAAGACAAACGCCAGGAAAACAATTGCAAGTTTCTGCAATGGCCGATAGGGGGCAAACTGCAATCTTGAATCTAAGAAAGTGTACCTGTGATAGCGGAATTAACCTAACTGAAATATTAACCTAACAAAAAATACCTGAGCTCCAAATTCGAGGATAGTCTGTACCTTTTCTATTTGACAATTTTTGCTGTATCTCTAAAAATGAAGTAGTAGGGGGTATTCAAAGGTTTCCGTAAAAAACACTATGTATCTTCGAAGAGGCTGAACCGAAACTCGGCCTAGTTAAAAAGAGCTATTCTTGGGCGACAAATGCTATAATATTTGAAGTTTTGTTAGCTTCACATGTAGCCGCTGGAGGGATTTTTGCGACATTCCGACAGAGACGGTTAATTTTCTCAAAAGAATTAAATGAGCTGGTATGATCTTTTTTCACGAAAAAGTAGCTAAATGATGTCTCAACAAGCTCGCGAGAACCGCATCTCGATATCCTGTTCCTGACCTAGAATCTAGGACAAAGTTATTTTTTTAAACTACTTTTTCTGAAATTCTTTTTTATTCATCAGAAGAAAATCACTCTTTTTGAAAATATTAGAAAATATCGGTATAACAGAACAAATACCTAATCAAAATATAAATATTTCTCAAATTGTCAATAGTTTCGCATTATTTTGAGTAATTTTGGTGCTTACCAAATGCGTTTTACGAACGATGTAGCTGTTGATATGCTTGCAGTTTATTTTGAAGGTTTCCAGAATGCTGCAGTAGCAGAAAGAGTTTACGCTACTCGCGACGTCTTTGCGATGAGAGTTCTTCACCGATTAGTGGCGAGCGTACGAGCCAATTTAGGCTTACGTTTCAACGCCAAAGAATAAATTAGAATAACACAAGAAAATATTAACCGCGTACTGGGATACACATTAATCGAGACATTGGAAAATGGCTATGGGCTGAAGTTGCATTTGAAATGGATGTAGCCTTTGCAAGAGCTGAAAAAATGGATCAACTTAAGAAACCAATATACTGGAATGTATAATTCACATTCTAAAATATTCGAGGAACTTGATGGATTGTAATTTTAAATCTTCGAAAAGGTGGTGAAATTCACGCAGTTGCACAGAAAGCAAAAGTATTTCATTAACCCACATAAGACGGCGTCGACGAATTTTCTAGGAGATCTCTCCGAAATTCTCAATTTAAAAAACACGTCTTCAATCAGTTAATCTGTATTCAACAACGACGACTGATGGGCAACGTCCGATGACGGCCGTCGTGTATGCACACGAACGTCCGGGGCAGTCGTCCGAACAGCCGCGGCTCGACATCGGTCAGTAATCTGCTCTGTGTGTACGAGTACTTAATGGCCATCAAAATATAGGGATTTATTTAAATTTAACTTTTTTTAGAATGCACCCATATTACGTCGTTTTACATCGGGCCTTGAAAGAGGAAGACTTGATGGGCAGTCGAACTATTGCCATTGGATGTTAGGCATGATACGCGAAAATAAAGAATTTTTATTTCAAATTCTTTGGACCGATGAAGACACATTTAATAGTTACGGGAGGGTCAATAGTGTGATAGTACTTCGAACGGAAGTTTATACAGTATGTCTCACCTCAACATTTCGACAAGTTCGTATCCCTAAAAATTATTGTGACCTTTACTATAACTACGACCTTCAATGTTTTCTCAAGGTCAAGTTAATATTATCGATGAGATTTTTCACAATGAAATGAAAAGAGGAGGAAATTTACATTCCGATATGATTCTGATCATGACTATAACCTTTAGGGTCAGATCAAGACATTGAAAACAATTATCTCTAGCAACAATATTCTACAGCATAATAGTGAGGTCCTTGGGGGTCACCTAAGTGTAACCATGACCGCAACTTCAACTATTACCTCAAGGTCAAGCCCAGATTTCCAAAGAAATCTCCCAGTTTTAAACTAGCATTGGAAAACACAGAGATTTTACGCTTGCATGTGACCTCAACCCCAAAGTCAAGCTTAATGTCTCGTTTAAGGCAACTCCTTGCTTTTTTACAAATATTCAAGCCAAGATCTCAGTCAGACGTAAAAAGTGAGGGGTTTCGATTGATAATTTTGTGTTGACCTTGAGGTTTATGATCAACGTCATGGTAGAGGTCAATTTTGGGTGACCCCCACAGACATCACAACTGTGCCGCCGAACGTTTTTGCTAGAGCCTAATTTTTTCAATGTCTTAATTTGGCCTTGAAGGTCAAAGTCATAGTCATTATCAAAGTCACATTCTGGAAAAAAATTTCCTCCTGTTTTAATTCCGTTGTAGAAAAGGAGGTTTCATTTAAGAATATTCACCTGACCTTGAAAATATCTTAAAGGTCAAGGACATGGTCAAGCTCTTCATCATTTTCCTCGTTGCAACCCTACAGCTTTTGTTGAAAACTTCTTTCTAGAATGCCTAGTTTTCTAAATATGTAGGTAGAGCGATTGAAGTGATACATTTTTTAGGGATACGAACTTGTCGAAATATTTAGGTGATACACCCTGCATGCCGCACCTCATCGGAATCCCCTGTAATATATCGAGCTGGATCGTCATCATGTAGCAGAATAATCTTATTCCACAGTTGCGTGACGTAAGCATGGATTTCTGCCGTTAGTTGCTGGTGTTGGAAATCGTCGTGATTATGAAAATATGCCTAATTGTTGTGATTCTGATAGTGATGGGATCAGTTCTTAAATTCCAACTGGTAGTTTATTGTGGTCCTTATATGCACGCTAAATTACCGCCTCAGCTACCATAACCGACAAATTGGTATAGTAGCCAGTAGCGAAATTTAGTACCTCGGGAGCATTCTGATCAACCCTCTGTAAGGGTTATCCACCAGAGCGTAAAAGCCGTGAGTACAGCATATGTAGTGCACAGCAGCAACTGCGCTGAATCCTGCGAACGAATGAGCCAAACATTTCATCCCAAAATTGGATCGGATAGAGAAGAATTTAGTAATGAGTCTAAAATACTTGGTGTCATTTTAGATATTAACTTAAGATTCAAAAGTCATGTTTCTAGCATATTACAAAATTGGAAATTACGTGTTTTATATGCAAATAGACGGGTTCTGCCTTCTGCTTTGCGGAAAAAACTTGCTGAATCTCTTATTCTTCCAATTATCAATTATTGCAATATTCTTTACCAGCCTTGCTTGGATCATCTCACTAAAAGACGTTTACAAGTGATTCAAAACAACTGCCTCAGATTCACGTGTAGTTTAAGAAAATACGACCATGTTAGCCATGCTTACAACAGTATTTGCTCGCATTTGCTCGCATCTGGTAAATCCAAATACCTAAGAGTAGAACTTATTTTTTCTAATGAAATACATAACAAAACTCTTAGATATACATTAAATATTAGAATACCCCATTACGTCACCTCGCTTTTCCAACGCTCATTTTCCTATAATGCTGCTAGTCGCTACAATAATATTCCTGATGATTACAAAACCATGAATCTGTCTTGTTTCCGTAAGCATGTTAGGCTATATTTACAGAGCTCTACATTATAATGTTTCTTCTTTGTCTAATTTTTGTTAATAATACATTTATAAGTTAGTTTATGGGCACATATCCCAACTAACAATTATCACTCCTATTAGAGTTGCAAAAATGATTATACAGTATAAAACCCTCTTAGAACAGCTATACAAGCGGAATGGGCACACCTAAGGACACTTCAGTCATTTAAGAGGTTGTATAAGGGCTGCAGGTAACATTTATACAACAAAAGTGTAACCCCTTGCAGCCACTATAGGACATTTGCGTCAGTGCAAGATTCAGTTTTTGTCAACTATACAACTATTCTGTTACGTGATTCTACTTTATTGCAACCAAACTATTTCTTATGTATTGCATAGATGAAGTGAAGAATATATAACTAACACATTACAGTCATCTTGTTTACTTATATATCGGCCATTGTGAATTTCATGCACAGGTATATGATAAACTTCTACACTGTGATATAGGGCTATTGAATTACTTGCGCAGCAAATTTTATTGTGAGTATCGTGCAAAGTAGTTACGCAATTTCTACGGGCTTCTTATTTCATGCATATGTTGATAATTATAAAAAGTATGTCTAGATTTTCAAGATGGAAAACTGAACTTATCTGCGTCAAATCTTCCACAAATCCTATATTTAGACACAATTACACAAATGTTTATCACTTTATATCTGTAATTTCGAACTGAAACATAATTATTTAATATTAAATAGAGGAATAAATGTTTGCCCAATATGGCTGGTGGTTGTGTATAGTCATGGCATCGTCCATGTTGTCTTCAGTTTATTAGAATATTTTGGTGTTGTTTGCAACAATTTGACAAATGTCTGAAATGAAATACCGACAGAGTCCAATGATTTACCCAGAATTTGTACCAGATCTATATCTTCTGTTTGAACAGTTGATAAAACCTTTTGAACCAATATGCATGCGTTGTTTGTATTAAATCATTGGTTACGGCATTTTAACAAAAATTTGACAGCAGAAAGTTAGGTTATGGTGAAGTTGAATACCAACATATTTAGCATATGTACAGCCTTTAACAGTTACTAAACAACAGTTGTATAAGTGCTTCCGTTGGGAGCAACTTGTTGGCTAAAGTAGTAATATGCACAGCAAAACAACAAGGTTCGGGTTTGTTTTATAAACGTTACCATGGATGACACAACACAACCATTTTGACTAACGTGCAAATATGCCGTATAAAATAGTTGTATAAACGTTTATGCAACAGTTTATCCTATAAGGTGTTGTATAACTAAGCTAAAGAATATTTTAAACACCTCATTTTAGAGCAAATACGTAGTAGAAAGCAAATTTGCATTCCACACAACATTAAGCCAGCATTTTGGTGTTCAGGAAACAACAAGAGAGAGCTTTTATGGCTGAATGGTTCTTTTACCAAAAGCTTATAGCACTACTTTGCTAGTTGGGATGCTTGTAGGCATTTAAATTAGTTGCTTGTTTGATTGAACTGCTTTCAATACTGTTATGACATTGTAATAGCTAAACTATATTTTTCTTGTCTCTCCTATACCATCTTTTTTTTGTATTCATATGGTTAAGTGTAAGAGTAGCTTTAGCTAAGCTTCGCCATAATGAATCGCACTCTGTATCTTTGTAAATAAAGACGATATTATTATTAATTTATATGACCTTGGGAACTTGGCATACGCTAGGAGACGCTGCCACGCGCAATCGTCTCAAGCGGCTGATGGTGCTTAGTTGTCTACGGGGTTCACCTTTTGTACAGGGTGCTCTGTAAGGAGATGAACGCAGCGAAATTGTAGGAGTTATATACCGAGACCTTTTTAAGTTGGGAATAACAGAAATTCCTCATTCATTTTACGGTTTCGTCATAGTTTATGTAATTAAAACTCAAAATAAACTTTATTCGGTCAAACTTAAAAAAAGCATATGTTTTAGAATTGAATAGAACAGTAATTTGGTAATCAAAATTTCAGGGTTGTGCAACCCCCGTAACTTATGCTTCAAATTATTTTACAAATAAAAGAACAATTAATAATATAAATTATAGGAAAAAATAATGCATGCATATTTACTTTCTTGCAACATTTCTAATGGGTTAATTCTAACATCTGATGTTGTGCAACATCAATTTTGCTAAAGCACGTGCAACATTTGATATACCAGACCAACTTGAAATTATAATTAAAATGTGGAACATGTAGGTCCAAAATCAATAATTTTTACGTTCAGCACGACCTAACCAGAAGTTTATTTTGTGATGTCAATACAAAATACAAATGTAGGTGTGAGGCATTGCGATCATATTTGATGTGTGATGCGTCATTCCTAATTTTTCCCGTAGTGCTCCTCAAAGTCTGAAAACACAAAAAACGGGAAAAATCGCAATTTACAGCTTCGAACATAACCTGTGTCTTCAGAAAGGACAACACATAAATAATCCACCGGGCACAGCAAATAAATATACATCATTTGCAACATATTCAGTAATAATTTTCTCACACAGCAAATATCACTGGTTTTTTACACATGCAGACCAATACACAAAATCATCAAGATGCGATCTTGCTATTAAATCAACTTTTTTTCTTTCACAACTCAGATATAAAAAGTACAGACTACCCGGCTTAACAAAACATATACTTAGTTTCTGCAACCAACAATGCTTGTAGTTGAGTCATTCCTTCATAGATGAACGCTCACAGCGATCATAGCGAGTAAACGTGGAATGAACTATTTGCACCCTAAAAACTCCCTAGTCTGCAAGATGACATTTTATTGTTTTTTTGTGTTTTATAGGTTTTTTACATAATAGTTGTGCGGGTAGGTTAAATTCGGTCAATCGCATTAACTGGTAGAACCGAAGCATCAAAAAATATCTAAAACTGTAAAATAATAATAATAATAATTAACGTCTTTTATTTGTAATATTCTTACAGGAGGCGAGATTTAGATTATATATCTATTCTACCATCTAACCCCCTTAACAATTCGAGATGTAAAAAAAAAAGAATTTATTGAAAATTAATAGGCACCTGTATACAATAACGAATAATCCAAGTAAATACATAAGGAAAATATGAGGACACTTATGGGTTACAACCGATTTCGCATCTGATCAAGAAGAACTTCTTTCACTTTTTTCTTGAATTTGGATAATGGATTGGTTTCTTTTAAACTGCGGTCTAAAGAATTATATGATTTGATCGCATTGTAAATGTATGAATTCTGAAATAGAGACGTGCTGTGGCGTGGAATTGAAAAAGTCTCTCTATATCTAATATTAATACGATGCATATTCCCTCTACGTATGAATTTGTTTACTAAATATGACGGTGTTTTTGAATAAAGAACCTTATGAGTCAGATTTAGGAGCTGGTACTTATACATTTTATCAATTTTCATCCATTTGAGTTCATTAATGGCATTCGATATATGATCGTATTTTCTGAGATCATTTACAAGCCTGCAACATGTATTCATAATACTTTGAATACGATTTCTTGTTATAATATCTAAATAGGGATAGTACACCACTAAGCAATACGATATCTTTGAAAATACGAAATATTCACACAATTGCTTTCTCGCAGATTTATGTAATATAGCCTTATTTGCAAATAAAACTCTGAGAATAGCGTAGCACTGCGTAATTAGATAGTTCACGTGTGCAACAAATTTTTAGTCATCATCCATTATAATACCTAGGTTTTTCGAATGATCCACAGGAATTAATTTATTACCTTTTAAATGTATGTCTATGTCCTTTTTTAAGGTATTCTTTTTTGTTCTATTTGCGTATACCAACATATTTGTCTTCAAAGGGTTCAAACGAAGATTATGACTACTACTGAACTTTTCAATTTGGGCAAGATCTTGATTAATTTTATTATTTGCAGTTTCTAAGTCATTACTCTTAAATGAATAGAAAATTTTAGTATCATCTGCAAAAAATTGTATGCTGCATGATTTTACCCCTGTTTCTAAATCTGAGATATATAATGAAAATAATAGCGGTCCTAAGACTGATCCCTGTGGTACACCAGAACAAATTTTTTGTTCCGTAGAGTACTGTTGATTTAGACGAAGTTTTTGATACCGATTTTCAAGGTAGGTTTGAATAAACGAAAAAGGTTTTTCAGAAAATCCATAGTAACTGCATTTAGATACAAGAAGCGATTGATTAATGGTGTCAAATGCTTTAGTAAAGTCAAGAAGTATGAGAGCTACTGCTTTTTGGTTATCAAGTGCCATTGTTATATTGTCTGTTAAATCACAGAGTGCCGAAGCTGTATTATGACCTTGTCGAAATCCAGATTGTTTAGATTGAATAATTTTGTTAGAATATAAGTAGGCGCACAGCTGCTCGTAAACAACGCGTTCCAATACTTTAGAGAAAAATGGCAGTAGACTGATCGGTCTCAGTTGACCATAGTTAGTAGGATCAGAACACTTAGGTAGCGGAATAACTATAGCGCGTTTCCACTGATTGGGGAAATATCCCCTCTCTAAACAGCAGTTTATAATATGCGTTAAGTAGACATCAATTTCAGGTATACATAGTAGTATCATATGCAAAGTTATTTCATCTGTACCACTAGAATTTGATTTTATTTTATGTATAATTTTAACAACGGTGTCAATAGTCACTTTATTAAATTGAAATTTGAATTTTGAGTTATTTTTATTAGCTCGGTAATATGCAATTTTATCAGCACAAGCCAAATCACTATTCTCGAAAATTGAAATGAATGCCTCATTTATTTTATATGGATCGGACAAGCTCACTGGAATTGTAGAATCTTTCTGAGATTGTACTTTGAAAGTCTTTAGGGTCTTATAAAACTTTTTTATATCCTGATTTTGAACAGCTTGTAAATAATCTCTTTTTCCTCTTCGCACGAGCGTTAATGCACGATTTCTGAAATATGTATACTGTTGCCAAGAGGCGGCTGTACGATCACGTTTGAACTTTGACAAAGCTTCAGCCCTCTGCCTGAATACAAGTTTAATATTATCATCCAACCAAGGAGCTGGAGCTTTGTTTACACGCACTGCCTTTTTTGGACAGTGAACATTAAATAAGCATAAAATACTATCTGTTAAAAAGTTAATTTTATCTTCAATGTCATCTATCGATATAATATGCCACCATGGAAAACTCTTGAGATCTTGTTCAAACGCTATTTCATTTAAACTATGGAAATCCCTGAATGTAACAAATTTCTGTTGATTTTTAGGAAGTGCAATACGTATATCACAGAAGGTTAAATAGTGATCAGTAATCATATCAGCATTAATAGTGCCACTCCTAAGACAACTTTCAGGCTTGCTCAAATAAATAGGATCTAAGAGAGTGAGTGTCGATTCAGTTATTCTAGTCGGTTCAGATATCACCTGTTTCAGATTATAAGAATCAAGGCATTTAGTCAAGTTGTTACAAACTAAAAGCAAATTAACATTGATATCCCCTGCAAGGATGATATCATCATATTCAGCTAATATGGCAGGCAACATGTTATCAAAGGTATTACCGGCTTCTGTAACAGAGCTATGTGGGGGCCGATAGAATATACCAACAGCAATTTTTTGTTTTGGAAGCTGCACCTTCAACCATATATATTCAAGACTTGGGTCTTGCCCAAATGAAATTATGGAAGAGTTGTAGTGGTTCTTTACAAAGACTGCAACCCCACCACCTCGCCCATCTCTATCACAGCGATAGCAGTTGTATCCATTCATTCTTATATGGTCATTAGATATATCTTTTGATAGCCACGTTTCCGATATTCCAACAATATCAAGGTTGTTGTCTTGAACCAGTGTACTAAATTCATGAAATCCTGATAAAACTGATCTGCAGTTTATATGACCAAATTTTAAAGCCTTGAATTTATCATTATTCATATATATAAAAGGTACTGAATAATATTATCATGCCTCTTGATTACACCAATTTATTCTTTTTCCTATTTTCCTATGAAATAATATAAATTGAGAGAATATTAGAAGTGTGTTACACTTAAAGACGAATAAATAAAAAAGAACCAGAATTGGCCCTCGAAGTTTAAGTCAGCATATCACTTTTGGTTCAACTTCATTATTTTGTAAAATTTTGTTCGAGTCAAGTTCAGTCGACAAAAAACTAAAAGGTGTTAAATTTGATAAAATACAAAAAGGTTAGAGGTACCGTGTGCAGATCTGGATTTTTTAACTCTTTGACCAAATTATGTATGAAGATTTTTGACTGAAAAACGAAAATAGGCACAGTAAATCTGTTTTTGTCATTTATTTCTTATATGTAGTCAAACTTTTCAACGAACAAGGTGAGATGCTGATAAAATTCAAAAAGGTGAAATAATGAATTTAGCTTTGGATTTTTTGATCAAACAAGTAGCTCTAGGTTACCTCTTGGCAACTTAGTTACGAGTATTGTGCAAAATCTCATCGAAATCGGATCAATGTGATACTAGCTTTCTACCCCACGGTTTTACCCGCGGAACGTTTAGGTGGTACCACTTATGAAGTAACCAAATTCCCCAAGCATGCGCTACACCAAAAATAAAAAACGTGATCGGAAGCTTACAGCATTACTTAAACGCAATATTTTATAATAGTAACAGTTTCAAGAGTAGGAAGTCAAGGGTAACAGCTACTGCAAAATTAAACGTCTGTATAACTTGAAGGCCCCAGGTTGAGTGGGCGATGCAGGCCGCGCTGTTGTCGGCTTGACGTTAATGTTAAGGACTTCAGTACTTGCTGCAACAGTTGATTACGAAATCGACAATGAGTATGCGGATAAAACCATGTTTATAATTTTCATCGGATTGTGGTTGAGACGCGGTGCTGACCAACAATAAGACAGAAGGAGTCAAGCCGACATGTTTACATTGCGCTATTTGTCGCCATAATTGTACTGTAAAAAAATTGACATGTCAAGTGCAATTTGATCCTCACTACAAATTATGGGAATTATGAAAAAAACAAATCCTTGACTGGCTCCTTCTACCTAGTCTGAATTCGTGGGTTCTGACGAACTGGACACACATTCACATTCGTATACAGAGACTAAAGATTGGGCATGTTTTGATGAGTCATATATCCGTAAACAATTAATTTGGAATTTCTGTATTTTCAGATATAAAAGCGCTCCATGCTACCTACCATTCCAGTCTGTCTATCTTCTCACCATGTACCGCCTGTTTTTTTAGGTGATATTGAGCTGATGGGATTCTTTTTCTTCTCAAATAGTGCAGAGTTTGCTTGCTGTGTTGAATTGTATATGCTGTACGGGTAACCCTCCCTTAGGGTTATTTGGCGAACCGTAAAGACTGTGAAGGCTATGAGGGTTGATGTTGGGGGTTGGTGGAGGGTTTGAAGGTAACAGGTTAATTAATTTCACTCGGAAGATAAGATAAGTGACGCTGCGACCAGGAAATTGCGCCTTGAATAATTCACGATCGCTACTTTCCCTGAAAAAATAAATGTTTGCTTGTAAAGCATTTTTGGGGCATCGTCATCTCAGACATCTCCTGTACTAATACATTCAACAAATGAAAAAATTCAAAGGCAAAGCTATTTTTGACTTAAACTAACAATTATTTTTTCTGATATGTTGTTCCGTACCTCGTCGTCTCAGAGTTTCAAATAAAAGTCTGTCACACATTTTTTCTTGCTTTTGAGACATAAAAAATAAAAGCACGCTTTTGGAAGAAAATCAGAGACAAAAGCTGTGTTATCATTTAAAGGCTAGGATGTGTAGATGGCATACCTTTTACAGTTAAGTAATACCTTTTGTTTCTAATGTCTTTTCCTGTTATGTATTTTTATTTTTTAGTATCTGTATTATTTAGAAACAACAAGGTCCGGCACAAAGGACGGAGGTTTGGAACGTTCAAAACACCATCCTTCGTTGTGTTCAATCAGTTCGCACACGTGGTGTACTGATCAACAAAAGACCACCAGGAGCTCGACGAACGGTTCGAACATCTGGAAATCTGGAACGCGTTCGACAAGCCCTCCTTCGCAGTCCGGCTCGATCTTCTCGGCAACAAGCTGAACTTCGCCTCATCGATCGTTCGGTAAGGCGTATTTTGCATATGGAACTCCACTTTCACCCCTACAAATTAGCCATTGTGCAACAGTTACAGCCTGCCAGCACAACGAATGAACTTCTCACGTAAGATGGAAGAACCTATCGATCAAAACGAGAACTTCATTTTGTTCATGATGAAGTTCACTTCCATCTTAATGGCACAGTTAATCAGCAGAATTGCCGTTATTGGGCTAATAAATATCTGCAACTTCCAGAAGACGCCCACACGCGTTCATCCCAGAATTAAAGTCACTTTCAAGAAGTTCCTGCACAACTGCCATCTGGTGAGAATATCAATAAAGACCTTCATGAGTAATTCTCTTCACGGGACGATCGGGCAAGTGCGTGATCCCGCGCAGAACGCTGTGATGATCTCAAGATTGAAGCGCTCACTGCTCACTGCAAAAATTTTCAGATGATCTTATGGGCGGAGGGACCCCAGTTTTCTGTCCTGACGTACTTGCAGCTTGTCTGAACGTGGTGACTCACGCAACAATTGATTTCCGGTTCTGGACAGGGGCCAACGAGGCTAAATTAAAGCGATTTCCAAAGACTCGCAGGATTATGATCACAGATCATCCGCTCGAAAAGTAGGCCTTGACGACAAATCCACGCTCCTCACTATTCCATTAAGGCGACTGTAGCTTTGACGGGACAAAACGAGACCACTAGGCTCTACGACATCAGTTATGGCAGTTCCGAGTCCTTTCAATGACCATGCAAATTGTAAAACCTCTTAGCCGCTGGGTTGTATAATAGAAATGAGTCGACGGAATGTGTGGTTAGGTGATACACCCCTTCCCTTCAGGAGATCCCAGAACTGGCACTGTCATCTACTGACATCAAATGACTAAATTACGTGCATTTTGAAAAAGGAAGCTATGCTGCCGCAACTATTACGTAAAATGGTGAACATGAGTTCAAGAAACAATTAGAATAAAGATATCGATCAAAGAAATCCAGCAGGAGTAGTTATTTTTGGAAAAATCACTAAAAATATTCTGAAGAACCTACATGAGATGAAAACATTACTGTTCAAATGAAGATTAGGTGATTAAATCTGAGGAGACAAATATCTCACCTCGAATGGATATTCTTTGGGAGCTCCTTAATGAATATAATATTGCCCTTAGCCCAATAGCATTATTTCTTCTAGTATACAAGCACGTAGACACGAACAAGGCAATGTAGCTTCTATATTGCAGATAGGATCTAGGTAATCTAGGAAAAGAGATGGAGAAATAAAGCATGGAATTCACAGTGTAAGCTTGACGTCTCTTCCGAGAAATATCGCGTTCCACTGACTAACGTTAGACTTCTCTATCCCGTTTGAAACGGGACATTTATTGGTTGCTCCATCTATTTGTACATTTGTCACCTGTATATTGCATCTATTTTATTATTTATTATAAATGAGAAGTATAGTGGTCACAGTAAATAATTTCTAAGAATTATGCACTGTGCGTTAAAATTATTGCATTTGTCCTTCCGACTAACAAGATTCATACGTTTATCACAATGTGATACGAGAATGAAAAGTTTGCAGAGTTTCACGATATTTTATTCGGTTTCGTAGAAAGAATAATCAAAACCCCTGCGTATCTGTGATATGGATCAATGATCGTTTACATCAGTTTGGTACTAGGAGTCACAACAGATCTAAAATGACACATCTTCTACCTGAAATTCGGCGCAAAGACGCTGCACGATATTTTGTTATTTTGAATCTGATATTCAAATCCAGCATGCAAAATTACCTGAATGTACTAAATTTCATCCAAAGAGAATGTAAATTCCTCGCTACAAAGTTTATATTAGTTAGCCTATTTTATTATAAGCTTTAGTTAATTCAGTAGTTTGACTCTAGTAGTTACGGAAGTATCAAGCGACTTTTTGAGCTGTCATTGTGCACCATTGTTAAAGGTTTTACTGACGCGTTTATATGCGATTTAATTTGGATTTCGCTATATTCATAATCGAATCTGTGTTTGAAAAAATCTTTTGAATAACCCTTTGTACCTTGAACAGTTTCTCTATTAACAACCTGTATAATACAAAAAAATGACGTCCGATATGTTGACATTGCCGTTCCCAGTTCACTTCATAAAGGACTAGTTCAGCACAAGTTGGCCTCCTGAGAAAAAAGCTAAGAACATGTATAACGAAAACTTGAATGGATCAAGTCAGTCATAGAGGCGGATACAATAAGTCCGTTGTCCTCACCCATATGACAATGTTGCGAACTAGTAATTTCTTCTTGCCCTACGGTTAGTACCGTTTAATTTTCAAAAACCTCAAAGCCTTGGCATAATAGTAACCATGTCTCAAAATTTCATCAAAATCACAGTGAGCAGATATATTATTATAACTATTACAAGTCATGAGGATGGGCCCCGAAATCTTTGCCCTTGATCTAATAACATTTGTGTATAACATTAAGTTTAATTGACCCAGAATGCTGGAGCATTGCATGCCATTTTGTAAGGTTTTGTACAACAATGTAAGAGGTACTATACTTCGACTCAGCTGCAGAATCCCCTGGTCTAATCTACTACATAAAATTTCGTAGTCCATGCATCGTTCTGGGTAAGTTCCATGAACTTTAAAGGAAAAATACTTCAGAGCCTTGCGTTGGAATATTTC